AAAAAAAAAAAACATGTAGTTTTGCAAAATTGTATGGATCCGTTTTAAGTAGGCTACCTACCACCTATTTTAGCGTAATATTCAGATCTGACCTGGAAGACTTGACCAAGCTCGTTAGAGCTCGTAGATCACCTGATCATTACAAAAGCAGTTATCATGTGCCAAAAACCAGCAAGACCACCACCAAGCTGATATGAATAGGAACAATTTTCAAAAGATTTTACTCCTATGCAAATCCTTCAAAAACGGTCCCACTTTACCCTATATTTTCATTACTGAAATAATATATTAAGCCTGCATTAGAATCCATACAGACATAGGCTTCTAAATATACTTGTGTATAGAAGAAAAAAATATTATGACTATACATGCTTCAATTATGGCGCCACCTATAGACTACTGAAATCCCTGTTAGAGCTACTTCATGTATCGACCAGTTGAAAAATATTTGCCGAATTAAAACAACCAACAGTGTTTATATGATGTAAACAAATGTAAGAGTTCAACAACAAATTCAGACAAAGAGATCAGTAAACAGTGGCTTTATGAAACCAATTGTTGCACTTGACAATAAAAATGGCGTATTTACCAAAGTATTAAAACTAGTTATTACTCCCAAGTTTACAAAGACTGTCTTGATGAATAATCAATATCATCCTAATCTCATCCCCAAAAGAGGAATGTAGAGAGTAAACACGAAATCTGTAAAAAAAAAGAAAAAAGTTTTTTTAAACATCAAAAGCACCTGAAAACTAGTTTTCTATTTTTCAAAATGAGAAATCCTGAGGGGGGGGGGGAACTACCATATTTTGTTCTTTCATGCATTTAGTTGTACATACAGAAATATTTCTCAAAAAAGGACATTCTTAAAAATAAGAGTTACATAAACATAGGTGTCCCCCTGAGATCAAAATATACATTTAAAACAGGCCAGCACACAAAATGGCCAATTTATTACTGGTTTTGTATTTTTTATTTTTTTTGTTCTTGCATCTCTAAAAACAACTTCCAATCTAAATGCCTTAACCTCATTATGTCAAAAATGTGCTTTTGTACTGCTAACTTTCTTTTTTTTTTTTTTTTTAAACCGTTAAGATGCAATCCACAAAATAGAAAATTTAAAAATCTTGGAGGATAACAAAAGGTTATTAAAACAGTTGATTAAAAAAAAAATTTACAGGAGAACTAAAATGCAGCTAAAGCTGGCTTTTAAAAGTGTTTCCATCGTCCCTCTCTAGAGTCTCTCCTTCTTTCAGGAGGGTGGTTTCTGTTGTGTTCTCCGCTGCGGTCATCGTGGTGATAGAAGTCACCTCGCTGGCTGTCGCGCCGATGCCGGTCATAGTTGTTCCCGCTGTGGCCCTGCCGTTGATCTCTGCCAGGGTTGCTATTGTCCTGGGGAGGGTGGCGATGACCACGCTGGCCGGACCAATCCTGTTGCCAGGGATTACTGTCTGCAGGACTGCGCAGTTGCTGCATGCCCTGCTGGTGACCTCCATTGAGCTGGAGCAACTGCTGCATCTGAACCTGCCACATGTTATTCACCTATTAAAGAAAAGAAAAAAAAGTGAGGGATGACTTTAAATTAGAGGTCGACCGATAGTGGAATTTTGCCGATGCCGATAGCTAGGTTGGACCACACTGGCCGATACCGATTAATTAACCGATAGTTTTTCAAATGGATACTGAACAAAAACTAAAATAATGCTTTATTAAAAAAACAGTACTGAACCATACTACTAGTAGTAGTAGTAGTAGTAGTAGTAGGCATGGCAAACTATCGGCATGTATTTTTGCAGATAACGATAGTTCCAGCAAAAAACTATCGGTGCCGATTAATCGGCAAAACAGATACATCGGTCAACCTCTACTTTAAATGCTTCAGAGCATATTTTAGACATGACACTGGAACACACAGCATCTTAATAATTCACCCAAAAATCTAAATTTAGATGTTTTTGTTTCTTCATCTGAACAGATTTGGAGAAATGTAGCATCCCATCACTTGCAGTTGCACAACAGCTGAGAAAAACATCACAATAATCCACACAACTCCAGTCCATCAGTTAATGTCTTGTGAAGCGAAAAAGCTGTGTTTGCAAGAAACAAATCCATCAAGACATTTGTTTACTTTAAACTAGGGCTGCACGATAAATATGAACGTGGTTTGGCGCAGCTCGTCAGTGAACAACGGCTCTGTGTAGTTAATGCTGCTCAATGTGAAAGCCCGCAGGTGATGGAGATTTACCTCTGATTACAGAACCGGCTTTCTGACAAGATGCGCATTAAATATCGCATGCGATTTATCGTGCAGCCCTACTTTAAACCATTGATTCTGGCAAAAATAGGAGTCCATAATCCATAATAACGCTTCCTCCAGTGAAAAAAAAATCCATTCTCCTGTTGTCTTCTCACATCACATCAACCCACATATTAGTTTAGAACCGTTTTGGCTTGTAAACGGTGATTGATCTGTGCAGACTTCTCTCTCGATTCAGACGAGACGACTTTTTCACTGGAGGATACGCTAACGCTATTATGGATTATGGACTTGCATTTTAGCCAGAAACAACAGTCTGAATTTTAAAAACGTCTTAATGATGAATGCGTTTCTTAAAAACACATAGCTTTTCTCTTCTCAAGGACATTAACTGATGGACTGGAGTGGTGTGAATTACTTGTGGATTATTGTGATGTTTTTATTAACTGTTTGGACTCTCATTCTGACGGCACCCATTCACTGCAGAGCATCCATCGACGAGCAAGTGATGGAATGACATTTCTCCACATCTGTTCAAGAAACAAGCTCATCTTGGATGGTCTGAGGACAAGAACATTTTTTTTAAGCAAATCTTCATTTTTTTTAATGTCCATCAGCAATAAAATGTACTTTTGGTCTGACATTAATAGATTTTGAATGCAGGAATCCGAACATGAGCAGAAGTGTTAGTAGAGGTATTCTCACCATCGCCTGTCTCTGCAAACTGTCAGGTGAAGAGAAAGACCTTTGTATATGCTGTGGAGGGGAGAAGGACGGAGAGCCCATCTGCTCTGGGGTTCTGCCAGAATAGAAAAGTACATCAGTTCAGGTCAAAATCCTAGAAACAAGACAGTACACTACCGTTCAAAAGGTTGGTGTCAGTACAATTATTATTTTTTTTTTGTAATGTAATTTTATTTTAAAGAAATTAATACTTTTAATCAGCAAATACTAGGGTGACCATACATCTTTTTTCCCCCAGACATGTCCTGGCCAGGATTTCCAAATTGCCCAAGATGTCCAGGGTATGGCTTTGTTTAAAAAAAAAAATTATAAAAAAAAAACAAAAAAAAAGTGTGTGTGTAAATAAAAACATAAACTATAGTTACCCCAGCAAGTATGCATTAAATTGATCAAAAGTGAGTTTTCAACATTAATAATAAAATCAGCATATTAAAATTTGAGCATATTTTACATTTCAAAATATCTTCAAATATAAATGTGTTATTTTAAATTGTAATTACAATCCACGATATTACTGGTTTTATGTATTTTAATTAAATAAATGTAGCCTCAGTGAGCTTAAGAGACTTCTTCAAAAATATTTAAAATCTTACCCACACCAGTCGTTTGATTAGTTGTGCATACAATCATTCTGCACAACCCTAATATTATACACTTGATGGAAATGATTCCCCTAAACATTTTTGATACATAGTAAATGATTAATGTTGTCATGAAATCAGAAACCCTACTCTTGAAGAAATGCGATCACAAATGGTCACAGGAGAGGCATTCGAGATGCAAGTAAATAGCAGGTGTAAACAGTGATGGGTCTCGGCTGACATCTTGTGACGGGATCACTTGAAACAGAGCAGGTGTAAATATAACCACATTTAAATCAGAAGTTACCTTCCACCGTGGTGACCAGGTGTATTTGCTGGACTGGGGTTTTGGGAGTTTGCTGGACTTTTGCCTTCCTGGTTAATATGACTGCTGCCTGTTAAAAACAACACAGATTTAGATGACCATTCATCTGGTTCTTACACTGCTGGGCTGAAAAGATATGTTCATAACTGTGATGCATTGAATCAGAATTGCAGAAAGTTGTTTCAGGTGAAGAGCAAGTTACACATTAAAGATTTTTTTTTTTTATTCTATTTTTTGCACACATTAATCACTCACAAAACTACCAGAATCAAGTAAGCAAATGGCATCAAAATTAAGTTTGTGTACAATTCCAGCACAACCTTAATTTTATGTCCTCTACTACGGTTTTCTAACATCATGTTCTTAAAGATTATTGTGGAAATGACTCATATGTGTGTGCGTGTCTATGCTGAAATGATAGACCGTGATGCATCTCTAATGAGCACAAAATAAAATGTAAATTCCTACCGGCTCTGAACTGTATGTTGAGCTGCCGTCCATACAGACGGACTCCATTCAGCAAGTTTAAGGCGTAGGGTACAGACACTTCATGTTTGAAGTTTACAAACGCAAACTGCTTCGATTTTCCATCATTGTCTTTAGGGATTTTGACTTTGATCAACGGCCCAGCCTATTGGAAAGGGAAATACAGGTCAGACGTCTGATTACGGTTACTTAAGCCAAAGACACTACTGGCAAAACCATTGGCAAAAAAAACAGCACTGGTCAATTTTGAGATGCTATTTTGCTTTCATAACATGTTTTGACTAAGTGGAAAGAAAAAAATCCAAAATACATATTTAATATATTACATTAGCGTCTGTAGATTTTAATTAATATAGACGTTTAAAAGCCATTTTCTCAAAAGTAGTTTTCTCCTGCACTGATCCAGAAACTAAACTTCGAAATATTTAGTCCCGTTTATATTGCGATGGTTTGTTCATATAGAATTTGCCTGATTTATATAACATTATATACCTAAAAGACTGTCATTTTTTCCCCCTGTCTGTTAAATGTATTTTAAAAAGAGACATCCAACATCTTCTCTGTAGAAACCTGTCGCTGTAATATATCTACAAAATAAACCAAGCATTTTGAACCAGGCTTCAACCAATGTTTCGCTTTCTGTTCTGCTAATGTATGCAAATTCGTGCATCTGCAAACGATGCATGATCTACTTAAATATTTCAAAAGTATATATTTCAGAAGTCTCGTAATACAAAACAATTACCTTAAAGTTCTGCGATTAATCAACTGTGGAACTATGGTGATATTTATTAGTTAAAAGGTATTGCCTTAATTGTAAATGAACGACACTTAATCAAAATAAAGAAGACTTAATGCGAATGAATGACGAGCAAAAGTGCCTTTGCATAGACAACAACAACAAAAACAACAACAACTTAATATAAACAGCAAATCAATATCCCTTATACTTTTGAATAAATGTTCAAATTAATCGTAAGCGTGTTCGGAAATGCTCCAAACTAGCGTTACCGCAAACAACAAACACGGGCTGATAGAAATTACAGTAAATATAAAAAAAAAAAAAATTAAGCGACACCACGGTACTTGTTAGTAAAACATGAATCTGCTGTTTTCAATAGGGTCGCTTGCAAATGGATAAAAAAAAAATAACAGCAGTCCATCACTAGCATTAGCAAGCTAATCAACAACACTAAAGCACTCACCTGTAAAAACAGCTCAAATATAACTTCTTCTGTTACTTGGGGGTCCAAATTCCCGACAAACAGAGTCCGGTCAGCCTCATCAGCTATTCCCATTTTGCAAAATATTGATAATCCAGCCGGTTGATTGCGCTAACTCTGCTAGCTTGAATTTATGACCAACCCATCTGTCTTTAAAACGCGTTTGCCGTGTGTGAGTAATAACTGTCGTGATGAACAGTCGCTTCACGACAGTAGCAGTTCCAGGAAAGACCAGAGGGAGGCGCCATAAGCAATGGAGACCTCAAGAGAGACAGTCTGTCTGAGCATGTCTCACCTGGAGGACTTTTTCAGGTTATCTGCTTTACGGACACAATCAGAAACTTTCCAAGGAGGTGTGATCAAGGATGAGGGAATGAAGGGGAAATCATTTCGGGTCGAGGAATGGGGGGTTTCTCCAGATGTCCGGGGCGGAGAACCTCCCTTCCACTGAGGACTCTGCATCTCAATTATTGACAGTAATGGTTCTGTAATGGTGGCTGCTCTCACTGCTTGTTAGCGGCCACACCGTAAATCAGATTGAGGAATTCTGTGGGAGCCCTGGCACTAGACATGTACCGTTGGGCAGACAAATCAGTGTGTGTGTGTGTGTGTGTGTGTAAATCCAACCAGATGCTTCCAGTTTTACTCAGCGCTTAAATTAAATTAGATTAATGAAAAATATAACGATTTTTCGTTCACACCTTAAGAACACAGACAGAAAGCTGCACGTGTTGTTGTTGTGGAGATAATGTTGCAGAGATAACAGTTGGCCCTGTCACAGATAAAAACCATGTTACTATTGTTAGGTTATTTGTCATTGCTGCATGCCTGTGACTCATTGAAAGCGAATGAAAAAAAAAGAGCTGGGGGTTTTAGTCTCCAACATGTGTTTTTTAATGACTACTTTGAGATAAAGTATAGCATGAAGTATAAAGTATATCTAAGTACTGGCATTAAATCCTGTTCAGTGATGTGCTCTGATCACTCATTACATGATACTGTGTGACTTTCATGTTCAGAAAGTGGCCCTGAAAAGCAAAAAACATATATGTGAGCTCCATATAATAAGCTTACATTGTAAAAGAAGACAGACAATGGTTTTAAGATATTAATATTTTCAAACATTGGGTCATGCAATATTACAGACAGCTATGGTGTATTTTTATATAAATATTTAAAAGGAGTACATGCATTGTGACATGTCCATATGTCCTAGATCAATGAAACTAGATCACTAGATCAATTCAATTTAATGCACGCCAATTTTAAATCCAGGCAATGTATACTGATCTAATTTGATTGATCTCATTTAAAGGCCTAAATCAAGTAATTTAGCTATGTGCATTTTGATGCTCCAACACACGTCTTATTTACTCTGAAATAACAGCGAACTGTCGTTTCAATAATGTGATCAAGAGGAAGTGACATCACTGTATCTTCAGAGGAGCCATGCTGATATAACGTTATAATACATTTATTATTTGTTGTTTTTTCATACTTGAAAAGATTAGTTCACCCCATCACATAAGAAATGTGTTTATTTCTTTTATTGTTGTGAGAGTTGACACTGGAATGCTAATGCTTTATGGCCACAAACCTGACAAACATGAAGACCAGCAGCCATTCTTTGAATTGTTGATTATATGGATATGATAGTTGTTGATTATGTTACTTATATTCATCTTATTCTGAGTTTGTCTGTGCACAAGTGCAATAATGTTACATTATTAGTTTGTAGCTGTGACGTTGTGGAAGAGGTATGCTGGATATGCCTCAAAATGAAAGCTATTTTTTTATGTTTTCTGCATATGGCACTCATTTCAAGACTCAGTGACTCAAATATACAGACTGGTAGTTTTAATGCTGTTATGCTATTTTATATTTGAAGGATATACTTAAATATTGATTTGCGATTCAAGAAAACTTTTAAGCAGCAGTAAATATTCCCTATATTTACAGGTGTTGAACTAAGTCGCAAAATATTTGAACGTTATTACACTAAATATTACACTAAATGTTTTCAGTATTTTATTTATTGTAAAAATGTTCATTGCTTATTCAACCTGACACTGCAGTAAAGTCGTAGTTGTAGAATCAGCTTTTAATTTCACACTTTCCTCTTTGAGTTAATCATATTTTCTTTTCCTTATAATTGTCTGTAAATGTAAAGTTTCAAACACTTGTTTAGCCAGATTTTTGTTGAGCCAGTCCTTGATCTCTCT